CTTCTTTGCTGTGCACGGACAAAGCTTCTGCAGGCTGCCTCCATGCTATACTTCCCCAGGCTTTGCTTGATCTTCTGGCCTTCTATCCCTTTCCTGTCACGCTCTGAGAACGTGGACGCTGCACCTCTGACCACGTCACGCTCTGAGAACGTGGACGCTGCACCTCTGACCACGTCACGCTCTGAGAACGTGGACGCTGCACTTCTGACCATGACCACGTCATGCTCTGAGAACGTGGACGCTGCACCTCTGACCACGTCACGCTCTGAGAACGTGGACGCTGCACTTCTGACCATGTCGCGCTGGCCAGAATTTGACTGCGGGACAGACTTCACTGGAAAGGAAACTGGGCAATGTGCTCAGCTACAACTGCTTTAGAAGAGAGATAAAATCAGATATAGACTAGCAGTCTCTACCACACTGGCATTTAGATAATTTGCAGCTTTTCTGCCAGCCAAAACATTTCATGTACAAATGCAAGTATTTCTATAGGATGGATATCTAGAAGTAGTCAGAAGGAATGTGCCTTTAAAATTTTTATAAGTACTTCCCAATTGCCTTCTGTAAAAGCTTCATTAATTTACATTCCCACCATTGATGAATGAGTGCCCTGCATCCTTCAACAATGGGGCATTATTCACATTTTATCCTGCTTTCCAGTTTGCTGGATAAAAATGGAATGGATGGATGGGCGGGTGGATGGATGGGTGGGTGGGTGGATGGATGGATGGATGGATGGATGGATGGATGGGTGGGTGGGCGGGTGGATGGATGGATGGATGGATGGATCGATAGGTAGATAGATAGATTCTCATTGTAATTTGCATTTCTAATCAGGAGCATGAAACTCAGAGTCATTGATGATTCCTCTTTCTTCTGTGAATGGACTGTTTGTGTGTTTTGCCTGTTTGTTGTTGTTTCGTCCCTTTGTTGATCTGCAGCGGAAGTTTATATGAGACACATCTAAAAACTTCCCTGTCATGTACTATGTACCTCCTTTCTTTAAAATTGCTAGTCACTGATATGTATCTTTATTAGAATTACAGATTTTTTATCTTACTGTATCAGTCAGTCTCAAGACTTAGTAGGTTTTGTGACTTGCTTAATTAAGGCCTTTCATATGCCAAAATAAATGAAAATTTTTTTGTGCTTTTACATTTAGGTTTTCAGTCCACTCTGATGTGTGTGTGTGTGTGTGTGTGTGTGTGTGTGTGTGAGATCTCATATAGCAATACCAAATGGTGGGTTAGAGTTTCCAGCATCACTTATTGAATTGTTAATTCCTTCTTTGCAGATTTAAAATACTGTCCTCGTTAGAGTTACATGTGTGTCTCTGTTTCTGGGCTCTCTCTTTTCTGTTGATTGGTTTGTCTCCCTCACTAATACCATCCTGTAATTACTATAGATTTATAGTGTCTTTAATATCTGGCAGTGTGAGTCCCTATTCATTATTCTTTATTAATTTTTTTTTTTTACTCTTGTGCTTTTTTTTTTCTTCTGTACTCTATAATCATCTTGTGAAATTCCATTAATGGAAAAAACCCAGCAGATATTTTGATTAGGCTTGCACTGACTGTTTGGATTCATTAGGCAAGAACTGATATCTCTCAAATCCTTCAGTGGGTTTATTTACAGAGAGCATTTCCAGGTGTTCTGTTATAGTGCAGTGATTATAAGCAGTCCACCAAACGCAGACAGTTTAACAACCTTTTTGGTAGAGTGGGGTCCTGCCCGTGATGCACATGTCTCCACACACCCCGCACACACCTGGGCTGTTGGTATCCTGCCTCATCACGTCTGAGATATGATTTAGGTCTGAGATGTAGCTTATGTCTGAAATGTAACTTTCGTCTGCTTCTTTGCTGTGCACGGACAAAGCTTCTGCAGGCTGCCTCCATGCTATACTTCCCCAGGCTTTGCTTGATCTTCTGGCCTTCTGTCCCTTTCCTCTTCAGTTATAAACAATCCAGGCAGTGCCAGCGGCAGGATGTGTGGCTTAGCTGCTAAGAAACAAGCTCACTTTTGCTGGGAGTTTGATTTTTGCCGATTTCTGGGAATTTGATTTCTGCCACAGCTTCACTACTCACACTCTTGATGTCCAAGGAAAGGTAAATAATGAACGTGTTCTGTGGAGAATTCCTTAAAAGTGTTAGCTTTGTGTGCGGATTGTCAGTGTTTCTCAGGTGAGATGAGAACATTCTTCTCTGCATTTACAGAATCACTAGTGTCTGTTCAAGGGCTGAACAGTACAGTGTGTTTGGAAAAATGTTTCACTTAGCGGATTAGTGTTAGTAGGTTATTGTTCTGCGACTGAAATACATTTATACAGCCAAACCCACTTATACCCCTTAAGTATGATCTTTCAAAAGTCATCTCAATGACAAAGTGCTTATGGGCCTCTCTGAAATTAAAGGGACAGTGGCATGCAAATTGGAGGACCCGACCAACTCCTCAGAGCTCCCCTCCCTTGTAAATGAGGTGTGTGTTGTGTTATATAAACACAGAGATGAGACAGAGTGAAACGACAAATGGAGACATGGAGTGATGAGCACATGTGTGAGGCAGCTGTGGATATATGGAGGGAGGCCCTGCAGTGGGAACTGAGACAGCTGTGAGACCTATGGAGGGAGGTCCCATGGTGGGAACTGAGACAGCCGTGAGATCCATGGAGGGAGGCCTTGTGGTGGAAACTGAGGCAGCTGTGGATCCATGGAGGGAGGCCCCACGGTGGGAGCTCAGACAGCTGTGGATATATGGAGGGAGGCCCTGCGGTGGGAACTGAGACAGCTGTGAGACCCATGGAGGGAGGTCCCATGGTGGAAACTGAGGCAGCTGTGGATCCATAGAGGGAGGCCGTGCGGTGGGAACTGAGCTGTGAGATCCATGGAGGGAGGTCCCATGGTGGGAACTCAGACAGCTGTGGGTCCATGGAGGGAGGCCCCGCAGTAGGAACTGAGACAGCTGTGAGATCTGTGGACGGAGACCCTGCAGTGGGAACTGAGATAGCTGTGGATCCGTGGAGGGAGGTCCCGAGGTGGGAACTGAGACAGCTGTGGGTCCATGGAGGGAGGCCCCATGGTGGGAACTGAGACAGCTGTGGGGTCCATGGAGGGAGGCCCTGCAGTGGGAACTGAGATAGCTGTGGATCCGTGGAGGGAGGCCCCGTGGTGGGAACTGAGGCAGCTGTGGAGTCCATGGAGGGAGGTCCCACGGTGGGAACTGGGCTGTGGGGTCCATGCAGGGAGGCCCCGCAGTGGCAACTGAGACAAGTTTAAGGAGTTGACTAGCAGCTGAACCCAGTGGCAGCTGCGGAGGAACTTGGGGCTCGGGATGATGACTTTGGCAGCCACCTGGTGCGGGCACTACTGGAGTAAAGCAGCATCTGAGGAGATGTGGAGAAGTTCAGTTTGATGGTTTTGGTTTTGGTTTTGGTTTTTGGAGACTGAGTCTCGCTCTGTCACCCAGGCTGGAGTACAATGGTGCAATCTTGGCTCACTGTAACCTCCGCCTCCCAGGTTCAAGTGATTCTCCTGCCTCAGCCTCCCAAGTTGCTGGGTTTACAGGCGCCCTTCACCATGTCTGGCTAATTTTGTATTTTTCGCAGAGAGTGGGTTTCACCATGTTGGTCGGGCTGGTCTCGAACTCCTGACCTCAGGTGATCCGCCCGCCTCAGCCTCCCAAAGTGCTGGGATTACAGGTGTGAGCCACTGCACCTGGCCGGTTTGCTGTTTTTATCGTTTTGTATAAAGGCTAACTCAGCGTCTCTCCAGCAACCAGGCTCAATGTGTGTGCCTTTTGTGACGTGCAGTACTCACCAGCAGCCCATATTCCTGAGATGCACATGTAACGAGTGCACTTTGTGTGTTTTCTAGAACTACACGCAGTACATCCCTCTGTCCATATATGACCTGCAGACATGGATGGGCAGCCCGTCGATCTTCGTCTATGACTGCTCCAACGCTGGCTTGATCGTCAAGTCCTTCAAGCAGTTCGCACTACAGCGGGAGCAGGAGCTGGAGGTGAGCGCTCTGGTGCTCGGAGAGCGATGCTGGGTTTGCTTTTGTTTTCCCTGGGGGTGGGGTTTGGGTGGGGAGGTTGGGAGATGTTGGACATTCTCTGAATGGAGCAGGGCTCAGAATGCCAAGGGCAGGATGGCGTATTCTATACCGGGAGCTAGGGAGACACTCAGCACACTTGTATTTTTGAAACATGTTCTGTTACAGCCCAGGCTGGAGTGCGGTGGTACCATCTCCGGGCACTGCAGCGTCTGTCACCTGAGCCCAAGCAATCTTCCCTTCTCAGCCTTCCGAGGGGTTGAGACTACAGGTGCACACGCCATGCCGCCATGCCTAGCTAATTTTTGTAGTTTTTGTTGAGGTGGGGTTTCGCCATGTTTCTCAGGCTGGTTTCAAACCCCTGAGCTCAAGCAATGCATGTGCCTCAGCCTGCAAAGTTCTGGGATTACAGGCTTGAGCCACTGTGCCCAGCCCAGTACAAACTTACAGGCTTATTTTTACATCTCATTTTACTCAATGTCGTTTTTAATCCAAACATCAATTGATAACATTAATAGGGTTGATTTGTGCCCCAACAGTCTCTGCCTCCAAGATAAATGTGAAAATAAAGCAGACACGTTTATTTTAGGAGACATGGACCCACAGCTTCAGTTCCACGGTCTTCACTTCCACCAGTGCCTTTGTTACTGCCCCAGTTTCTTTTTCTGTTGTGTTTAAAAAAAAAATCCGCGACAACCACTAAGCTAAAATGATAGAAAACAAACGAAAACAGCTGCCGTTGGTAGCTCTCACTTCAAAAAGCGGAGAGCCTCTGCACCGCTCTGATAATGAAGAGACATTTTGCTTAGTTGTTTTAATTAATATTTGATGTTTGAATTAAACAGTGAATTCTGAGGACAAATTGAAGAGGAAGTTTCAATTAAGAGGCCTCCATCTTGTGGCCTGCACAAGAGTGTCAGAATGAAACATTTTGCAGCCTCAAGGGGGTCATGAGTTCTGACTGGTTGCAGTATAAGAAATTCTCAATTTAGGAGCAAAAATGGTCTTGAGTATGTTTCCTCAAGCCTTTTTGAGTATATTCCATTTTAATGTATTATGTTTTCACATTTCATCAGAGGAAAGTGCTGAAACAATCGGCAACAAAATTTGAAATTCTGTTTGGTAGACTTTCATGTTAATGTGTGTAGAGTTGAATATTTTATATTTGTTAAGTCTTTATGTGAGACACTGCAAAAGAGTGATAAGTATAATGTGCTTTGTCCATGAAAAAGGGTCCACATGCAACACGTTTGTTTGTTTTCTGTGATGAGGGAAAGAAAGATCAAGGTTTGTATGATCAAATTTTTTCCCTTGCTTTTAGGCATTTCATCTTGGTTTACCCAGGGGATAGGTTATCTAATAAGCATTAAGGAACTCAAAGCTTTGAGGGGTAATTTATTTTTCCTTGCATCAAGTAATAAATATTGCAAAAAAAAAAGAGGCAGATTTTTACATTTATAATATGTAAATAAAAATGCCACAGAATCCTTCCTGAGTTCACCAGATTTATGGTCTGTAGAGTGGCTAAGGGAAAGACCAATCCATCAGCCTTAGTTAATTAAAACATGTTAAATAGAGACCCGCTCCCCTTTCAGCAGAAGACCAGCACCTCCAGCTCATGCATAATATCAAATGTTTGCATCCCAGCGCTCTGAGCATGTGCTCCGGCAGTACTGTGTGTGCTCGCTGTATGTTGCCAGGGATTAATCAGCCTAAGACACTGTTCATTTCATCAAGTGTAACAGAAAAGATTCCCATGCATCTTTTTTTAGGGGAAAAAAAATGTTTAATTGACGCATTCCACACGAAAGAGATCAGATGAAAAATATGTTAACTGAGTTGGCAAATAGATGGCAAGGCAATGCGATACCGTATGTCTTTAATTAGCTCTGATTTTTATCTTCGTTCTTTAATTACAATGTAGATCAGTCTTGTGTGTTTCTATTACACTTACTATTATTGGTTATTGTTCACTTGGTCTCTTACGTAAACAGTGGAAATTAAAATGGTACAATTAGCTCCTAACTAATATCTTAATGTTCATTTAGTCATTTTACTATCTGCTGGAGAAACAGCAGTCCTGTGCAGCCTGTTAGGGTTTTTCTTTTAAAATATTTTTTGCCTCTTTACAGCTGGTCAAATTCTTTGTAAATTTACAATATGTTTTAATACTTTTATTGTATGACATGTGAGCTGAAAGAAATTGACAGGTGAATGATTTGTTCTAGTGTTAAAGAATTGATTAAATGTAATGCAAGAAAATGGTTATTTGAACCAGAAAGCCTCCAAATAATAAACATTAACACAAACATGAGTGACATAAATGTTAAGAGATGATGATCAGCTTTCATATTCTTAGTGGCACAGTGCTTGTCCTGGGACCAGGAGGTTTATTTATTGTGTGCCTCTCTCTCAGGAGTGCCGTAGGTAGAGTAGAAGACGACTTCATCAAAGCACAGATACAGTGTTGCACACACATCAGACCATCAGAGCCAGAAAACGGCATCTCCGTCACTCAGTAATCCTGCTTATATTTGTCATTGTGTCATATTTCTTTGTAATTTAAAAATTAAGGATAATATTCAAGTCTCTCCACTTTCAGTCTTCTTTTATAAATATTTATTTTTACCAAATTAGTATATGCCATGGTTTGAAAAATAACACAGAAGGTTTATGATGAATAAAATAGTTCCCGGCCCCACACTTTCTCTGCTGAGAATCTGTGACCAAAGGCACCTCCTTTCCCTGTTTCCATTTCTGGTTCTTCCGAAGGGTGTCTCCTTCTCTGTAGATGACATGCTGAGACCACTGCTTCTTTTTTTTTTTTTTTTTTTATTATTATTATACTTTAAGTTCTAGGGTACATGTGCATAACGTGCAGGTTTGTTACATATGTATACTTGTGCCATGTTGCTGTGCTGCACCCATCAACTCGTCATCACCCATCAACTCGTCATTTACATCAGGTATAACTCCCAAGGCAATCCCTCCCCCCTCCCTCCTCCCCATGATAGGCCCCAGTGTGTGAAGTTCCCCTTCCCGAGTCCAAGTGATCTCACTGTTCAGTTCCCACCTATGAGTGAGAACATGCGGTGTTTGGTTTTCTGTTCTTGTGATAGTTTGCTGAGAATGATAGTTTCCAGCTGCATCCATGTCCCTACAAAGGGCACAAACTCATCCTTTTTTATGGCTGCATAGTATTCCATGGTGTATATGTGCCACATTTTCTTAATCCAGTCTGTCACTGATGGACATTTGGGTTGATTCCAAGTCTTTGCTATTGTGAATAGTGCCGCAATAAACATACGTGTGCATGTGTCTTTATAGCAGCATGATTTATAATCCTTTGGGTCTATACCCAGTAATGGGATGGCTGGGTCATATGGTACATCTAGTTCTAGATCCTTGAGGAATCGCCATACAGTCTTCCATAATGGTTGAACTAGTTTACAATCCCACCAACAGTGTAAAAGTGTTCCTATTTCTCCACATCCTCTCCAGCACCTGTTGTTTCCTGACTTTTTAATGATCGCCATTCTAACTGGTGTGAAGAGAAGACATTCATACAGCCAACAGACACATGAAAAAATGCTCATCATCGCTGGCCATCAGAGAAATGCAAATCAAAACCACAATGAGAGACCACTGCTTCTTGATTCGTCGATTTGAGGTTATCTGTGGGCTTTCTCTTAGGGTACAAACCAAGAACAGAGCTGCCATTAAGTCCTGTTTAAAGAATGGAGAAACCATGTGGAAGCCTGTTAGCAAAGAAGTCGATTCCATGTAGATTACATGCTGGTTTAAATTCCTATGTGTTATTTGTATTCAATAGCGAATTCTAAAGAGAAAGTTCTAGATTGAAGAGGCTGCGTCACTCACAACACCTTCTTGCTTTCCCTCTTTTTCCCTCTGTTGGGTGTCTCTATACTTTGTAACCTTTGCGGTTTTAAGTAATATCCTTATGCTTATATTTCTGGTTTTATCAGTAATGGGTCATTTATTCCATTTTCAGGGCTCTTAGCTTCCTTGTACTTTCTTCTCCTTTTTTTTTTTTTTTTTTTTTACAGCTTCTGTTATCTGCACTTTTTGCGATTGTCTGTGGTTCTCTGACCACGATTAACACCTCTGTGCTTGAGTGGAGATTGATTCTATAGGAAGACAAGCATTAAACCTTGTTACCTGATTATGGCCACATAAATATTGCTCACTTAGTGGCTAAATAGAGTAGAGTACTGTGATCTCCATTTTTATAACTGTTTTTGTTTGTTTGCTTGCTTTTCCTGGACATTTCCTATTTTCTTCTTGAATTATCTGCTGTTGCCGCTTCCACCACTGATAGATCCGTAAGGAGAGCGGCAGAGCACAGAAGGCTCCCTCTCCCCTCGTGTCTTCCAAG